CACAAAATGTTATGATAAAATCACAGAGAAAAAAAATGTGACAATGAGTGTGTATATGTCCATGAATGACTGAAAAATTGTGCTGAACACTGGAATTTGACACAACACTGTAAAATGATTATGAATCAATAAAAAATATAAAAAAAAAACTGTGATGATGGTTGCACATATCTCTGAATGTGTAAAAATCAGTGAATTATGCATGTTCAAAGAGTAAGTTGTATGCTATGTGAATTCTACCTCAAAAGAGCTGTTTTTAAAAAATGAAAGACAACACCAGGCTTTACAATGTAAATGCTGCATTAAAATCACACGTTGAGTAATTAGTTTCAAGGTACTCACTTTATCCAGTTGTAAATGGTCTAAAAGTTTTCTGAATCCATCGCAGAATTCAAGATGGTCCCAATAAACTGGATATTGCAACTGGAATAATAATAATTTAAAAATTTATTTTAAAAAACTATAGAGGTAAAATGCAACTAATATATATCTGAAAAATTTAGGGCTCTCATAACAGTATTTTTCATTTGCTCAAGCTCTGCTCCTTATTCAAAACATATGAAAAGAAGCTCTCGACTTCTCCTAAACTTCAAATTTTATCAAATTCACATTTTATCCAACAGATCAATTAAAAAAATAAAAACAAAAAGCACAATCTAGTGATACTATGAATGGACACAACAATTTCAGTTCACCTTGATTTCCTTTCCAAATAGATGAGGAACTCTGAGGTTCAAGGGTGAATAGAGCAGAACCCATCAAGTAAAGAAATGCTGTTTTCTTTGTAATCCAATCTCATTCTGAATTACAGCTCGAAGAACTAGATATAAAATCTGTTCCAAGGAGAGTTTCCTCTTTTTCGTAGCATTTCTTTAAAGGAGTATTCAAAAAAAAAATCATTCCTCTACTTTTAATTGACTTAGTTATTCTATCTGATTTCTTGTAGTACTTTTGTGACCAAAAAAGTCAGGTGCTTGACCTTGAGTAGCCTATTAATGAAAATGAAGAAAAAGAAATACAAGTCACTAATTCCTTTCTAGGGGACTCAGGCTTGTCACCTAAGAATTCCCCTGTCTTTAATGTAAATGAAACCCATCTGAGTGGCTTGTTTTAAGCACTTAGATTCAGTCATTGACAAATCACTGAAATAGATACTGTCATGTAAATTATGGGATAATTTCAGCTTTGACGGACTATGTTACTTTTATTATTAAAATTCCATTTGTTAATAAGATTCCACTATTCTGAGGCAGGATGGAGAACAGACACTCCGAAGCAGAAAATTTTACAATCTGAGTCAGATGATAGCCTAAAAAAAAGGAGATGACATTTTTAGGACTCCTTTAATTTAAAAATTTCTGTGCCCTAGGCAAGTGACAAAATTGTATATACCTTAATACATACACACAATCGAGTATGAGTGACACTGGGAAATCTGAATAAGGTCAGTGGATTATGTTAACGTCATATCTTGGTTGTGATAGCCTACTACAGTTTTGTAAATTGTTACCATTAGGAGAAACTGGGTAAAGTATAAAATGGCTCTCTGTTATTTCTTACAGCTGCTTGTGAATCTATGATTATCGCAATAAAAATTTAAATGAAAAAAAGGATCCATGCATTTTAACAGCTAGATACTAACAAATACCTAGTACGTTTCAGAACGTCATGGGGCTGGGTGTTCTGATCAAGTCTTAAAGTCATTTTGAAGACGTGGCAGGCCTTTTCTTGAGTCATCATCCAGCTAAAGTAGGAGGGAAGGCCCACATCAAGAAGCTTGAGGGCAAGGAGAACTGTCCAGCCGGAAGGCAAGGCTCTGTGAATGCCAATGTGGAGCAATAAACGCTGTCCGCTTTGGACAGTGCTCTAAAGTGAGACGGACCTGTGGAGGCTGCTTGGCTTCCCCACTCTGGCTGATTAGCAGTGGCCACTAGGACAGGAAGTGTCCCGACTCAGGCTGCAGAGGTCTGGGGTCAGGGCGGTTACCGCCCTGCTCTCCTGGAGTGCCGTACACTGAGAGGGATTACTGAAAACCCAGAACAAGGGAGGACTATGCTGTGGGGATTCAAACACGCCATCCGAGGAATGGCTAAAAAACCTGGAGAAAGATACAGCCAGGCAAGAAGAGACCTGCGGGGAAGGCAGTAGGTGGGGCAGACAGTAACTAGCTTTCTCAAGAAAGAGAAGGACTGTCAGGAGGGAGAGGAATTAGATTTGTTTTATATGACCCCAGTTGGTGGTAACCCCAGTAGAATTTTCAACTGCTTTCCAAGAGAAGGGATCTGGCCTACGTTTTCTCTCCTTTAGGTAGTAAATAGAGTGTCTAATAATGGCTGTTAGAAAACCAACGTCCACTGTCCTCACCCAGCTGGGGCATGCCAAAAACTCCGTCATGAGCAACAATGCCTTCCCACCTACGCCCTTCTCCCAGAGGAGGAGATCAGAGAATGATAAATGCAAAACTAGATTTAGACCAAACTGAGTCATAAAGTAACAATTAGAAACTTCTTAACCCAATGCTAGGGATATGAGCTAATGAATGAACCTCACCTCAACTGTCAAAGACTTGCGTTAAAGCAAGCTTTCAGTCAGCTGGATGTTAGCGGATCCCTTTGCTGCCCCCAGAAGCAGGTGAGTAATAAAGGGGAGTGGGAATGGGGTCAGAAGACTGGGCTGGGTTCTCCCTCAACCACCTATTGGTTGTGGGACACTCGGTGATCACTAAAATGGTCTGGACCTCAGTTTCCTCATCTATAAACAAGGACAATGCTTCCGGACTCCTGTTCAACTCATTCAGAAAATGCACATACAAGCTGGGAAGAGAGAAGGCTTCCAGAAGAAGTTTGTCCCCCTCTGTATGTCTGTGCCCCACACCACCTTCCTTCAAAAAACTCCCTTTCACATTTTAAAAAAGGAAAACAGTATCCAACCTCGATTAAAAAAAAAAAAACCTGCCCATTACTATAGTTACTCAGAAACAGAAGCACGTACTCACACATACACAAAACCAGAAACGCGGACCTGCATTTTCATCCTGAATCAATGATACTTACAGCTATAACCCGGTAACCCCATCCAGTCAAAGCCAAAATCTGCCGGAAAAATACATCTGCAGTGCCGCTGACCGGAGGGAGAAATATGAGGGGACACCTGATATTTCTGGGGCCCGCATCGTAGAGCGACCAGATCTTACTATCATCATCATCCACGATGATCTGGAGGGAAAGTTATAAGAAAAAAAATGAAAAACCTCACGCATTTGGTTTTACGTAGTTATTTCAACACAGTACTTTCGCTGACAGTTTTAATAGCACTGCCTTGGTTGTTACCAGCTAAGCGGGGGCTCACCCCACACTAGCACGGATAATAAACAGTTCTGTTCTCCTTTTCCTTCCTCAGTGCTGACACAGTCCATGGAATTGCTTTATATGCTTCTTCCCAAGAACTGCTTTTTCTATCAGCTTGTAATTTTCCTTCCCATCCGTGACTGTACCAAGTTTATTTTGTTTACCATTAAACAGTAAACTGTATATGGCATCTTATTTCTCCCCCAAACTTCTGGCTGTGTGTGCGTGCGTGCATGCACGTAGGAGGAGGGCGATTTGCAGAGTCATTCTCCAGTGCTGGCCCAGAGGACGGGCTGGGATCTGCAGGGTCAGCGTGCGAATAAGGGAAAAAAGACTCCAGGCTCCAGGAGAAACTGGGTAGAGATGGTGCCACTCGGGAGATGCTTCAGGAGCCTGATCCAGACCAAGCCTCTGAGGAGGGAGCCCTCTGCTAGACAGGAGGGATGAGGCAGGTGTAGATTTCACTGCCCCCCTGCCCCGTGAGAATGTTTCAAACCATTCAGTCAGACGTGGGGAGTGGGCTCAGGGAAAAATTGGCTTTTTTGGGGAAAAGGGGGTGGGATGGAGGAAGGTCATCAGGAACCTTCCAGATTTAGTGGTTCTTGACCCAACAGGAGGAAAAGATGAGCACTAAATGAGCTGAGACAAATCAGGTGTGCAGCATAGAGTCTGGCAGATATAGAACATTCCATAGTGTTAGCTATTGGTATTCACTGCATGAGAGTTTTAATTTTTGTTCTCTTTGGCTGCCTTTTGGTGGTGTTTGGAAAAGTACATTAACTGCTTGAACTTTTGCCAATGCAAATCAATACTCATCCGACTTTTACATTAAAAAGTTCAAGGTTCTATTTTCGGAGAGCTTCTAGCTGGCAGAGCTGCACCCCAAGGTGGCAGTGTGGTGGCCGCTCACTAACCGGGGTCACTGGCATCACTGGGAGCAGACAAACAGGGCCGGGCAAAGTCCAGAGGGCCCTAACAAAGACCTTTTGGACTTCCCCAGGTGACAATATATCTCATGATTATGCTTTTGCCCTTTGTATTTGCCACTCACATTTTTGCTTTTCATGTTTCTTTTTGCTACAACTATGGTAAAAAAATTTCAATGACTTTTGACAGCGTATACAGTAAATTCCAACCTTGTAGCAAAAAAATTCATATGAGATAAGATACTCAGAGATCTTTGAAATTTTCTGGGAAATTATCTTGCTAATACAGTCTGGAAGAAAAGGAATAAAAGTAGCATGTTCTTTTTTTCCTTCTTTCCCCACCCCACGAGTTGTATGTTTTGAATCTAAACCATAAAATACTTAAAGGTTGTTTATTGCTTCAACTTCCTCAGAGCTCTCTGAATGGCAATTTTGTCAGAATCCCTTTAGAAGACTCAGCATCTGTTTGATAATTTAAAATCTAGCATTATGAAATTTCAAGCAAACTTTTCATGACGTATGGACCAAAAGAATCAGAGGAGAAAATTACATCAGTGAAACTACCTCCTCTAACTACTGCCAAGAATATTTAGGTAAGTTTCTGTTGTTTCAGGTCTGGCGAGCAGCTTGCTGAGCAAGTCCATCAGCAGGAGTTCACGTGAGTCACTTGAGGGGATGGGACAAGGGAAAGGGACTCCAGGGGGACGATGCTCCCTCTAGCATGGGCAGTGGTTTCCAGGGTAGCAAGAAGAAAAGGGGGCTCCTTTCGGTAAGCAGCCAAGTAGTTCCGGCTTTGAAGCCAGATTAATTTGATTTTAATCCAAATTCTACCAGGCTGTGTGACCTTTAACATGTTAATCTCCAAGAATCTTGGTTTTCTCATCTGTAAAATGGGCATGCCACTACCCTTTGGTTAAACTTTATAAGAATTAAATAAGACACCTGGGACTTCCTACAACAGTGCCAGGTATACAGCAGGTATTCTGTCTCTACTTGGAGACTGTATCTCAAATTTCTATATAAAGAGTAATCTTCTTATTAATTCAAACTTGCATGATACTCCCACAGCTCTCTACCTTGACAAAATAATCTTAGCAGAGACTCAGATGATCTTCAGATCACAGTTCTCTAATACTTCTGCAAGGGGATCAGCAAAGATTTTACTCTGTGGCTTGAACAACTTCTGTCTAGCGTAATCCCTAAACATTTGGGATTAATTTGGGACTCAGAGTTAACGGTCAAACTTCAGTGTAAGTGTCTGGGGCTTCTGGACATCCCAGGCAAAGAATGCTTCCAGAAGATGACTACGGCAGAATGAGTATATGTCATTGCAAACAGAGGAGCTATTATGTGACCCACTGTAAATGTTACATCCGAGGAACAGGAAAATGCTTTCTAATAAGTAACAGCACTCACTGTGTAGCTGCTGTTGCTGTAAGCTTTCTACTGAGCTATACGGAGGAGTACACATACTCCTGCTTGCTTGATTTTGTAAAAGCAATTATAAAATAATGGGTATAGTTATTCTCGCTTTTATTCTTGAATGAGCCTCAAAAGTTGATTGTATATGACTGAAGTATTGTGCCGTACACCAGAAATTGACACAACATTGTAAGCTGACTATGCTTCGATAAAAATATATTTAAAAAAAAGTTGATTGTACTGGACAGGGAAGGGGTGAACTTTATGCTCTGCAACCCAGAGTCACAAAACTTGGCAACAACCTTTACTCCCAAACGCTACGAAGACATAACGTCTATATCACACATAAAAACAATACAAGATTTTGCAAATAAGAGGTGTAGTAAAACCATACATACCTTTTTAAGGGGGACTGTACTTCTAAACCAGTTATAATCAGGAGAGACTTTAATCTCTCCCATGATTAGCTGAAATGGAGGTTAACCCTGAAATAAAAGCATGTGATGTTTCATGTCAAGAATTCACGTTTACATCAGAACTAAATGTAGAGTCTGGTCGAGCTCTACCAACAATACTTTAAAGGGTGAAACCGAGGAAGTGAGCTATTTTATCTAGTCAATATATATTTAAACTACAGAAAACAATTTGATGAAATCCTAAAATCATGGAGCACAAAGGGCCCTAAGAGAGAATTATTTCAGTCTACTTCTTTCCTCCCGAAGAGGAATCTGGTCTAGAAAATGTAAGTGACTTACCCAAGATCCTACGGCTATTGCAAAACCAGGACCAGATGCAGGACAGTATTTCTACACCTGACTGCCTGTCCTAGTTAAATGACTCCAAACTGCAGCAGCATCACCTTTTGCCAGTATCTTAAGAATCCATTGCAATAAAGATGGTCCTGTCAGAGAGAATTCTAGGGAACAATTCACACTAGAAAAAGGAGTTAATGTAAGCCGACCTCCTGATAAACTCATAAAATGCCATAAGTCTAACTCCCGTGGGAACATAAGTTCAGAAACTCACACGTAATTTTCAAACCAAAATACATTGTTCGTATGCATGTGATTAAAAGTGACATAATGTCCCTCTGAAAGATCTAGGATAAGATACCAGAACAGACCTGAAGGCGCGCTAACTAGCAACAAAACAAAACAAGTGCCTTTAGGGGGGGAAAAAAAAGTGTGGTTTTCTGTTGTGAGATTAGTGATTTCCAGTTTTTATAGCTCTGTGACCTCAGAAAAGTCACTGACCCTCTTTGGGCTTGTTTTCTCATCTACGACTCTTTCATCTCTGTATCTCCAAAGCACAGAACAGTGCATGGCACACAGCAGGCATTATCTGTTGCCTAAGTGAACGACTACATCCAAAGCAGACCCAACTAGGCAATCCCAGAGTCCCTTTTAACCCTATGAGCCTACGAGCGCTGGATTGGCTGAGCATCTTCAATTTAAAGGCCGCCCCTCTTTGCTCAGGCATCTGTGTTATGTCATAACAGGAACCTGAAATTATAGTTCCTTGTTGCAGATTCTTATTGCCAAATGAGGAACGTCCATCCATCCGTTTGGTAGGATTCAAATGCTTGTTTGCATCATGTCCTCCACCTCAGGGCAAGCCTGGATTTTCCTAGCAGGGCTAGGATGAGTTTGAGACCCTAGGACTTAGGTCCTGGGCTGACTCTGAACTGGCCAGGAACAAGGGATTCTAAAGCCAATTAATCTTCCTCCTTGGCCCATCACATCGGCTCCGTAGGAACCCTGGGCACTCAGCAGTCTTAACTGTTACCTCCGACCTTGAGGGGGTTACTAAGCTGAACCCCAATGAGATGGGAAATGCAGACATCAAATATTAATCTTGATTTACAATGCTGACATTGTAATAACGGTCTCTTAAGGCTAGGATGGTACTTTCAGAAAAGTGGCCCTAAAGTACCACTGAAGAAAATAGTCTGCCAGGCTTATGCTGAAAATCAAGTGTGCACAGATGGACTGAAGTAAAGAAAATCATTCTTTGCGTATCTATTTTCTCTTAACAAGCATTAACATGTTAAAGAAATCAAAGCCATTTGAACTATAGCCTTTCTCTAAGCTGGTAACTGCTTTTAACTGAAAGCAACTAGCACATACACTTAATTCTGGAATATTTTCTACCTGGAGAGACTTGAAATAGTCCTATATCATCTAAATATTTCCTAATGGAGACATTTTCTATAAACAATTACTATTCTACAGGAGGAAATATAAAAAACATGTTTAGCAAAAAAAAAAAATCTACTCAATAGACTTATAAAACACCTCAGCTAATTAAGGCCAGAAACTTTGCTTTTAGATTTACTAAACTTGGGATAAAATAAATTATTCATAGTTTGGAACCAGTCACAGTGTACCACACAAATCCACATACACACATCAAACACAGACACACACATTCAGGCATCAACTTCTTCCCTCAGTAGTAAGTAGAAAGATGTTCCTTACCCCTGTCTGCAGTATTATTCACAACCAGCCAATATTATAACATTTTATAACTAATCTGCCTGAGATTCCACCCAACTGTGACTACATTTTTTGTAGAGGCAAGCGGTTTTAACACTTGTGCTAGCTTGGCAGTACATAAAAGGTAAGATAGATACCAAATGCTGCATCTGACCAACTGCCATCTAAGTGAAAAAAACTGCTGCAAAGAAAGCAGCTGTGAGTGGTATGAAAAGGAAGTTTGTTCTCCCAGCCCTCTTTCCTCCACTACAGGGGAATACTTTTCCAAGTCACAAGGGGAATGTTCTGCATATGGCAAAAAAAGGTCAGCTGAGATTGTGACGAAACTGGTCAGTATTAAATAACAAAGAGTGTGGACCATGAGCTCAACACTGATTTGATCCCTCACAATGCAATTCTTCACAAAAATGAAAGCACCTGTTCATGCTGGTGGGAAAATCACTGCAGGAATTTTGCCTTAATCTTGCCTAAGGAAATGACAATCCCTCCGGGAGGAATGCTCTGGACATTCCATCCTTTATGGCCCTTGTGTTGCTCGACAACAGAACTGCCAGGTGGGAGTGTACACCAAGAATTACGTGCACTTATTTCTCCAGGTTTCAACAGAACCAGACAGTTTACAGTCCACTTATCCCTCAAGATTTCAACAGAAGCTGCCAATCTAGAGTCAATGACGTTGCCTTCATAAGTGTTTAAGTCATAAAACCAGTTTAACTAGTCAGAGCTTTTCTGATCCTTTATCTCAATCATATGATCTATATATGGTCAATCTGGGATTATTATTAACATCAGCAGTAACAAAATATTAGAACCTGAGAGTCTCCAAGTGATGCCATTGGCATTTTAATGCAAGCCTCCAGACCTCACCACAGCAGGACACAGCTATTCTTTTTTTAGGTTTCCTCAGGGGAAGGTTGATCCCTTTCTTCTTCAGAAAATCTTCTAAACCTCATGAGGGGAAAAGCTGACTACCTGACATTTCAACTGTGACAATTCATTTTGTAATCTGTCTTAGTACAAAAGCTTTTGGAAATTTGCACACAGCTAGTCAATTACCCCTCAGTCTCTTGAATCTTTGTGCCAAAAGGAGCTGGAACATTGTAGGTGGAGACAAAGAAGCAGCATAAATGCAGAACTTATGACTCCCCAGGAAAAGGAGGAGAAGTGAGAAAGCCTAGCTCTGCTACTTTCCTCATGCCCCATTCAGAAGCCTCACACCTGGCCCGGACTCGGCAATGACAAAGACGTCTGTCGCTTTCAGGCTGAGGTACAATCTCCAAAATAACTAGCTTCTGCTCAGAGTTCTTAAAAGTTTACTGAAAAATACGTTCCTGGGCTGCAGCACTGTAGCCCCAGGATGGAATTACAGCAGTATGCCCAGGTCAAGAGCTCCCCACCCCCACTCCCACCCCAGGCAACCCACACGCTGACCTCCGCCTTCTCCCAACCCCACCAGTGACAGGCCACACAAAGGCAGAATCACAGGCACACCGACCCCTCCTCCCCGCATGAACTCAGACTCGGCCTCAACACACACACACACCACACACAAACACACACACACACACAGGGACGTGCAATCACGTGCATGGTCACATGAACCGACTCACTGGGGCCACACTCCCAAAGTCACACCGATAGAGGTAGCAGCGCACACTACAAACCACACTCAC